CGTTTGTTGATGAGAATGCATGTTCTGACAACAGACTAAGTTTGTTAGCAGTAAACAGACGTGGACCACACCGGCTCGTTTACACATACACAAGTTTGTGAACTACGATCAACAGGTTTGTTGCACTGATGTATGCAACACTGTGACCAATAATACAACAAAGTTTTTCTTGGAATTTTGGAGAAGGCAACTCAAATAGGCACTTTCGTCAACAAAATAGACTACTAGTCAGCTAACAATATCCACAACTGCAGACATCCGGTGGCCCACCCGATTAAGACCATCTCACTGTTTCCATGAGAATACCCGTTAAACTGATGTCTCTTGAAAGATCACCACTCCAGTCTCCAAAAAAGGTTGCTCAACAACTCAAAATACTATTCCGGCAAAGACCAGGATGCGAAATTCGTGCGCTGAGCATTTGTGTATTTCCGCACCTGTTAGATTTTGCATGGAAGATCAGTCGTGCAAATACTCACTCACAAGAACACAACCATACATCTGCTCTTTTCTGGGGGAGCACTACACAGAACGTGGGCAAGATGGCTCAGTGGTTAGAGCGCGAATTTATTGACCTAAAGGCCCGTTATTCGAACCCGAGTTCGGCCTCTTGACTTCTCCTGTCTAGGCGTGGACAACCTGGCAGTAGCTCAGCCCTGGTGCCATCTTCTGGTGGCATGGCAGTTAGGCATCAAAAGGATGCTACAGCTGCGGAAGACCGACTTTTCAGAGAAGAAGTTTACTTTTGAGCTATACTTCACACACCCAACATTAGATTCAGCTTCATCTACTGTGGACCGCCATAACAGAACCTTAAGCTAGGACACACCCTGATGATGCCTCCTAGACATACACCCAGACGTTGTCACCAGTCATTCGTTTGACGTAACCGTGAAAACTGATACTTCTTTGGACGGCTTCAGATGGATTTGTGCCTCGCTGCACTGAATGTTCACAGCACAGTAGGAATATATGCAATGAGATTGTGGTCAAATCTAGATTCGAACGAGGGTCTTTGTTGCAATTCCCGCCAGCGCTTACAATGTCCGGGCTTTCTAACTGGGTCTCGCTTGGGAACAGTTTATTTATTTACAAATTGAATCAATGTTAAAAAGACTCAACTGAATCTCTCGCTTATGATATTTATCAGTTAAATATGCCATACAAAGGCATGATTCAATTGCTATGATATTCAAAACATCGCAGTATGTTTTCTTGAAACAACACACTACTACTCAACAGCTCACTACTGATTTTGACATCATCATTTGAAATTGACTGTATGTCGCCAACATAAATTTCAGAGGAACTCGGTGACTACACCTAACTGCTAGCATCCAAGAAGGGCAACACTGGTGTAACGGTGCTACAATTAATGGGGGAAGCATGTGAGTAGTATGTTTTCTTGTAAATTCACTTTGCATCTCCTGAAAAGTAAGAATTTGTGGAATTTGTAGGAATTTGTGGAATCGCCTTGCAGCATTTGCTTGGATTAGAGCAGCAGTCGATGAGTATCCAGGAAATTTCAGGAAGGCGCATTCAAGGAGAAGATGGATATTCAGTTTTTGTAAACAAGATGTATACAACAATTTTACTTCCCTGTCCAATAGTCTGTAGCTAATAAACAACTCCGAAGCAAACTCCTTCTTCCTTTCACTGGTAGTGAGTTGCTGGACAGCTTACGCTTACTTTAATAATTATGACGACAAAGGTGGTCCTTTATACGGGGTGCATATTATGTTGCAGACGTTATAGACGACATCCGCAGTAATGCAGTGCAAAATTCAATATATAATTACATTATTATCTAAATCTAAAGTACGCTAATCTTCCCGCAAGGTTGGTAGAGGGTGTTCCTTCCAAGAAGAAACCTCAACTGAGGGTATGTTGGCTGTTCATCGTGAGTATGATCCGTTCAGCTGGTCTACAGCACTTTGATATATTGAATCCTGTCCCAACTGATACAAGTGCTTACAGACTAGTCTTTTGAAGAATATCCTTAAAGGGATATTCAGTTTCAGTTCATTCAGACCACTCCTTAAGTCCATATTAGTTTGCGAATGATCGCATAAGACTGAACAGTTTTTTCAACTATTCGCACCCAAAATTCCATCACCCAAAATGGCATCATTGCTGTAGGACTTTCAGAGTCTCTGGTCAGGCATAAACCGACGTCCTGCAGTTTTAGGTGACTTGTATTTCCCAAGGTTCACACTGTGGGCTTTCTTACAGTATTTCCCTCAGAAGGTCAACCTTATAACCTGCCCATAGCATTTGGTCGCTTGAAGTTAGCACACGGACCTTCATTCGATTTCCCTTCCATCACGTAACTTCCCCAACGTTTGCCGACCAACATGTCCATCACCAACAAAAATTGCTTCACATTTGGAACCACCGAGTTTCTTTGAAACGAATCTTCTTTAAAACCTATACTACTAGGAACAAATTGGTTTAAGCTGTTTGAGAACTGGATGAATTCGTTGGGACACTGGAGAGTCAGAAAAACATCCTCCTAATGGACAGTTGCCCATAATACCCGTTACTAGTTGATTAGAACATCCAGCTCACCATAAAATGGATAAAGCATGGACCATTTTAGCCAATCGCGTTCAAAAGATCTGATTATTTCGCCAGTATATTCGTTTCAAGTTCGAAAGTGAATTCTGTTGACTTGTTCTGCGAAAATGCCGAAATCGGTTACCGCACCCCGTCTCGCAATCATGAGTAAAGAATCGGTTTTTGACTGTGCTGAAACCGCCCTACCTATTCTTTTGGGATCTCACCAGTGCGAACATCACAGGGCTGTTCTTGAACGGCAATTTCAGAAGGGCGATGGAAGTTTTTTCTGAGTATGTTTTATCGGAATAAGTCGGTCTTGTCAACAGAGGTGAAGCGGACCGCTAGGTTGTTCCCTATTCACCAGATCACTGAGTTGAGCTTTATTTAGAGCTCATACAGTTGACGGGGTTTGTTGTCTGCCAGTCTCTGAAGACAGCGGTAATCGCTTGGCTAATTAGGCAATTGCAGAAGCCACAAAAGTAGCAGTAGAGTCGTTCAAAATTGGCGTCTCCTGGGGTCTGACACATTTTTGCGTGTGATAAGGAGCTGAAGCCCCTCTTAGAATTTCTTTTATAGGATAAACAAACTGCGTTGCACTGTGAAAAGGATCTTTGGGTTTGCAGACTAGATTCCATCAGCACCCGTGAACTGAAATGTGATTCACAGGCATAAAAATTCCTGTCGGATCTTGATTCAAGATTGCAGAGAATTTTTTTCAATGGAATTGCCATAACCAGAGTGTTCCCTGTCTACGTTAGCAATGAATTTAGCAATGCGATGGGGGGGGGGGGGCGAAGGTGTACCTTGATTACGTCTCACTTCTTCACCAGAAACCTTGAGATTGGAGTGATCTTGATCAGATTCAAGAGTATGTCTGGACATGAATCTCTTCTCAGAAATCCTGCAAGGCGCTTATCACGGACAGACCGCGAATGATAACCAGTCCAATGAAGACTGGCGCTTGATACGTGCCACATCAACGTCCCTCAAATAAACAGGAGAATGCATTGCTTGTCTATTCCGAGCCTCTGAAAGATCTATATCGTTTACACAATCACATTTCATTAACCGTTGTGCCAACGGCTGGACATTTATCGCTGGTTGTCGAAATTCACGAAAATCGTATTGCCTTTTTTTGTCTGTTTCGTTTGCTCAATGAAACCAACGTTCCAAACGCAACTTGTATATGGTTTTTCACATTGCTTTTTTTCAAACGGAGGCAGTAAAACACCTGAATTCAACACAAGGGTTCCAGTCAATGATGATGAAATGAAAACTAAAAGATTCGTGGTATCCTTGGTTTAGTGAAGGCGGGTTGTCAGTGAAGCACGTAGATTACTTTGTGTCTTACCAACCCGAGTACTCCATTGTCACCTATAATCGCCCAGTTGGGCACTTCACCCTCGTTTGAACGAACAGATTTAGCAAATGTTTTCATAAATGAAACTATTCACAAGGTTGCTGAAAACTCTTCGACATTCCACGACCGTTTTCACCCTTACTGAGGCTCATACTGTAGGTGGAGTCCCCGAGTTTCCGTCAATCTTAAGTCTAGCACATATTCGTGCTAATTTTTGGGATACCGTAGCAGAAAAAACATCCCTTTAAGGAACAGCTAAGGAAGTAAACGGTAAAGTTGAGTCATTTTGGTTCTCTGGCTTTTCTTGGATCGAGTTTGAGGTTGCTGCCCGATCACTGTTGTGCAATTACTGTCGAAAATGCACTAAATGTCAGCCGATTGCCCTACTAGCCAGCATGGTGGTCAGATAAGTAGTCAGTTTTTTCTGCTTCTTATATTTTGACACGCTCATCGCGTGCTGCATAGATGGGTTGGAGTAATCATTCATTCTCTGGGAGGGGTGTGCCAATTTTAACGACTGTTCGGTTCATACTGCTACGTGGACCAACAGATGTAAGCCGAATGCTCTCTGGAGATTAGGTACTGAGAAGACACTGTCAATAGTACAGAGGAACTCTTCAGTCAGTGGTGTGCTTCATCAGCCGTAACCACAGTTTGAGAACTTGTAATATTCGTGAGGTCCATAGCGAAGCAAGCACATGATTTCTTCCTGTTCCTCGGTAAACTGTGTGCCTTTCCACTAACATTCTGGATTCATGGAATAACGAAACCATGCACGGATATCCGTGTTAGGGTCACCATATTCCGTTCAAGCCATTGTTCAACTTGAATTCCATCCATGCAGTGCAACACACATGGAGGGTTTTCGAAACTGAGGACAAGGATATGGCGAAATTTCAACTACTAGGCACCCAATCAATCAGCATGAGAATTTACTGACCAACATAAGGAAAATATCCCCATAAAATAATGCGTTTGCCATCCTGATAAGTTTTTCAGTTTTTTTTCAATGAAGATCTATCGCTCACTCCCATGATTTGCCCAATCAACACATCGTGCTCTCATTTTATGTTCTATATAGGAACTATCGGTAATCGTTTCAAAAAGATCGGGGTGGAGAACCATGAGGAAAATCGAAGGCATTATCGTCAACTGTTATTTACAACCGATCCGTGCTTGGCAAACAACATTTCCGGCGTGATCCTCTTCCACGAGACATTCTACCAGGTTGCTGATGATGGCGTGCGTCTGGTAGATCACTTGAAGCGCAAAGGCATTCTGCCGGGTATCAAGTTGGACAAGGGCGTTGTCCCATTGGCTGGAACGCTGAATGAATGTACAACTCAAGGTAAATCCGTTTTCACCATACCGTTTCTACCCGCATATTCCATCTTCATGATGAGGTGAAATCATCTAGGTCACTCCACAACGTGTCCCGCATGTTCCATCTTCGCGATGAGGTGAATGTATCTAGGTCACTCCACAACCTGTGCTGCACGGCGTACAGAATATGTAATTCGACTGTGGGCAAAATTATCTGAAGTGTCGCGCTCAAAAAAAGCAGTTGCCGCTGAGTGGACTGCGGGCAAAATTATCTGTCTTTTGAAGTGTCGCGCTCAAAAAAAGCAGTTTGCTGCTGAGTGGTACCGCTGTCCTATGTACGTTCGTAAACATCGCTCTTGCTCCTCTGGAACAAGAAACACGTACATCCTCTTGACATAACACACTCTTGGTTCTTCCCTTCTTGAGATCCATAAGGCGGACAGATTTAGCGAGTTCCCATCACTCTCGTGTTTTGCATGAATACCAGTTTGCAGGCAACTGGTGAATCGAGTTGGTCTTGATGGTGAATATCTTGCTTTTACTATTCCTTAGATGAATCTGCACCCGTCAACCAGGGCCTTCAAATGTACTATGAGCTAATATGCTTCCCACTGGTTCTATGGCTTTTCTGTTTTCTCCCAAGCAGGAAACTTGGCCGTGCTGAAGATGTGTTCAATGTTGCATTTCTCATCGAGCTGTGAAACTCCGCATTCAAATTGAACCGAACCCATTATAGTTTAGCTTGCGTTCAAAAATTTCACTTCATGGAGTTTTCATTGCTCTGATAAATCTTAGACTGACAGGCGCGTCCATTCACCAATACCGGAGAGAGGTAAAAGTGTCATGCGTTTCACCGAGTTATGTGTTGGCTGAAAAGCGGAAATCAGTAGTAGGCGGAGTGGAGCTGTTTCAAAAGTTTATTCAGATGAATACGTCTACTTACTGTCCTCATTCTGGAATTGATTTTCCGATATTTCCTTTTCTAGGCTTGGATGGGTTAGCTGAGCGATGCGCACAGTACCGAAAGGATGGAGCAGAGTTTGCCAAATGGCGTTGTGTGCTAAAGATCACATCGCACACACCTTCATACCTGGCCATGATGGAAAACGCCAATGTTCTGGCTCGTTACGCATCCATTTGCCAACAGGTTAGTGCGTACGGGAACGCAACAGCTCCGATAAGTAATACAAACAGTGTTGATATCAGTGTCCTGCGTTTGATTTTTTAGGCATACCTCTTGGGAAGGACAGGCCAGCTGAGTAAACGTGGAACCCTCTGGGTGGCCTCTAAACATAAGGAAACTCCTATTCTTGCCAGTGATTGGACTGTAAATAATCTACACTTCAGGCACCAAGTGGTGCACAATACCCAAAAGCAGTTAAATGGCGTTTGTCATATTTTTTGCCAGTTGGTACCTGTCACATCCTGAGCCTTGTGTGTGATTGCTTTGCTGGTTGTACCACCTGTTGTTTGTGAACATGAACGAAGGCTATCCATCGTTCTCTCGCAGTTCAAAGTGTTTTAGACTTTTGAAACATGACATACAGCTACACAAACAACCAGGTTTGTACAGAAGTGAACATGAAAAATGTCTAAGTTGGTTCAGAATAATTCCACTGACTCCGTAACGGACATTTACTTATCAGCAATACCTGGTTTCATTTTATTGATTATTTTATTGATCCTATACACTTCGTTTCTCATTTTGTGTCTATACTTGCCAGAATGGCTTGGTTCCTATTGTTGAACCCGAAGTTCTTCCGGATGGTGATCATGACTTGGCTACTGCGCAAAAAGTGACAGAACATGTTTTGTCTTTCACGTATAAGGCGTTGATGGACCATCACGTGTATTTGGAGGGAACGCTGCTCAAACCGAATATGGTCACTGCTGGACAAAGTTGCACACAACGCTACACTCCGGAGGAGGTGAGTATCTGCGCTTTAGAGGAGGCACCCATGTGAGACTCCTGGTTTATCCTCCATTCGTTCTGGCAAACAGACGGGTTTTATTAGGCATAAAATATGTTCTTTTGAACTGAGTAACTGTCCATTTTACAGTGGTGTTGACTGGATTTCGTTTGCTTACTACGAGTAATTCGTCTCAGCTGATAACAGGAGAGAGACCTGATATCCTCATGGTCAACAGAACTCCTTGGCTGATGGCTAACATTGATGCATGTTAAACACAAATGGTGGACATTGAAACCACCAAATTGGTTTAGTAAAGTGATCAAAGCGACCTGACCTTTGGCTGGAAGACAGAACCACTTTCGCACCAAAGGCTAGTTACACCGGCAAAGTGTCTTCCGACAACCAATAATCTATGGTTGTCCCATCACACCTGTCAGGGTCACGCTCAGCTCGTCTGCGGTCATCAGTTTTGAAGTTGATCATGTCATCAAAATGTGTGCTCTGGAGACTAATTTAGAGAGCGTCTTATTGGGCTTTTACTCCCGAGTACCCTCAGTTGTGTCATACGTACTTCTTTATTAAAGGCGTAGACAGCGAAGACAGCAGAGTTCCCGTTAGACCGAGTGAAGACTGTAATGGAATGTGAGACGCTTTTGATATGCTGATTTGACAGATTGGATATCGTTACAACTCAAATACGAGGACGAAATTTGTGCAGCATATTCATTTGAATGATGTATCGGTAGAGTCACAGGTTGGTACCAACTTACTTGGCGAATGAGCGCTTATTCTTCACACGTGTTCAGTCTGCTTCCCTGACGAGTCTTGGAATTCTATGTCATTGCCCTACTGTCAGTTGTTCAGCATCCTTACACCTGGCGTCACAGTAGACCCATGTGAGTCATTCTACTGAAGATCTCACTTCACTTGGTCTCCATCATTTCTGATTGGGCCTTCGCAGCAGTCTCCATATAGTGGAGATCTATCCGTGCACGGTAGTCCCCTGAAATAAAAAAAAGACTGTACCCACTTGTCTCTACTATACTCAGTTTATTCTGTACATTTGAAGATTCACACTGAAGACGCAGGATTTGTCGATCAGCTATAGAGTGGTCTTGTTGAATGTCAGTACCGTAAGCGCTCCCTCAAAAAATTTGCTTGAGACTAGATTTGCTCACAATGTTACGTTGAGCAACTACCCCACTGATTAGACCGTTTTAACGGGCGTTCAAGATAACCTCAGATGAATAGCGATCTGTTTAACCTATTCAGTAAATGTGAATAAGTTAACCAGATTAGCTAGCCTAGATTAAACATGAAGCTAAATTTTGAGGTCACGAACGCAGAGAATTTTTTAGAAGTGCCTGAGTTTTCTGCAGCAAAACGTTCATTTGTATGTTATCTTCGTTGTGATGAAGACTCATATCAATATATTTTTGTGATATTCTTCAAGTGAATTTGATGCCTCAGATTTATACGAAATGATGTTTGAGATATTGACTTAATTCTTTTGTTACGAGGACTCTGGACGATTAGACGTTGTTGAGATTCCTCAGACAGGCCCAGTCTAAGATGAGTTTCAGATTGAGTGGAACTGGTAGTGATCTTTCCAGGAGTCTTCACTCATTTTACAAATAGTTGTATCACTAAGCTGACGGCACGCAAGCCGACTGGTGACAAGTTCTCAAGGAAGCAGCTCACCACGAAGTGTGCTCGTCAGAGCGCGCAGGCGACTGGTGGTGTCAAGAGACCTCACGGTACAGGCCCGGTACCGTTGCCCTGCGGGAAATCCGTCGTTGACAGAAGATAATTGAGCTCTTTATCCGTGAGCATCCGTTCCAGTGCATTGTCCGCGAGATAGCGAATGATTCCAAGAGGGAGATTCGTCTTCAGTAACCTGCACCGAAATACGTTTATCCTTGCACAAGACAAGCGCTTTGTTTGTTTTCCTGCCTGAACGTTTCAGTAGCCCCACAAACGTTCAGACATGTTCAAAGTCTACTTGCAAAGTATGTTTCGCCACTTTACGATTATGCTCTTTGTTGGCACAACACAGAAACCCCGCAAACTTACACACACTCACAACTGTGCTCTTTCTCAAAAGGACTGCATTTCTTGTTGCTGCAGACTCCATTCCAAAATGCACTCCAAAAGCGATGCAGATTAACTTCTTCCGAACTTGCTTTCCTACCTTTTGGTTTAAGGAAGGTGCAATTCAGCTATAACTTCTTCCGAACTTGCTTTCCTATCTTTTGGTTTAAGGAAGGTGCAATTCAGCTTTAGTACACGTCGCTATGCAGGTGTCGAATTGATGTAACTGTACAAACAAAGCAAACCGGTGGACGGAGAGGGACAGGAAACTACAGTCAATCACTTTGTAACAACGGATCGCCCTTTCAATCTCAAACCCATATCGTCGATGTGCGCACATTTGATTGTGGACATGTTTAAACTTATCGCCTTATATTTGAGTTTCTAGTCTGAGTAGCGACTTTACTAAGTTTAGGATTTCTCATTGTAAACTGACAAGAAATTCGCTTAGCTGACACTCTGAGAGATTCACTCGTCTTTGAGGGTTCTGTTGTGCGAAAAACGCCCAGTGTTATTAAAATGTCCAACTTGTAATAGAACCTTATCCGTACAGCTTAAGAGATAAGTTTGATCATCTCATTTTGCTCATCTCAAGTCCAGACGAAGAGTGAACTTCAAAATTTATTATCAATCATTTCGAAGAACTTGAATGAGCCTCCCTTTTGGTTGACATGAATGTCGCTAATGGGTAGTGGAGCCGAACCAGCAGTGTTTATCATTAATGGTGAACTTCGATACATCAAACATAAACTACCGCATGCCTAAAGCACTCATTGTTAATAGTCCAGTGGCCGGATATGATTGTCAAAAAAGGGTCCCTCTATCTAGTAACGATGCAGCATAGGGCGCTGTTTTCAAACCGTTTGAAGCCTTTCTTCAACCGTAAATAGAAACACGGCTCAGTCAGATAACAGAACCGGAAACAAGAGGTTTTCAACAGCCTTTTCGAAAATATAATCAATAAGCGGTAAGATGTCGGGGAATCTATTTTAACGTGGTAAACTGTGCCATGTTACAAGATAATTTTGCCAGACTTGTACCAGCGTGTCTGGCAAATATCTGGCTGTTGTTTCAGGTTTGTGAACTTTGGTTCCTCAAACAGAGACTTGCTAAAGTTAGACAGTTCGTTGCGCTCGATTGGTAATCTCCACACCTGTAGAATTACCTGAATGAGATGGACTGATTAATCCAAATTTGTTCCTAATGCACAAGTGATCAGTAGGTTTATTTGTTTTCAAATAAGTTAGACTTGTGGTTGTACGCCTGGCTGATGAGCGTACAACAGCCGGGATGAGCAGCCTGTGACTTGCTGCTTGATACTACTGTTTTGATCAGTCTAGTACAGCCGAATGAACCAAACCATGACTTCACCCGGGCCAGGTAGGCTCTTTCAAGTAAGCCCAACTACTTGATGCCGTGTAGTTTGGATTTTTAAGCCGAGGGCTCAGGATGTGGTACCTCAAACAGCTCTTCATCGGCCTGGAAATCACAGAGAATCATTCTCTACTGAAACACTTCGGTCACTGGTCACATTCTCGATCCATCCCTATCATTGTGGTCACTCCATCTACCAGCCCTCTAACCACTATTTACCGTCCCTAGTGATTCCTCAATAAAATCAAAAGATCTGATCTATGTTATAGCATCTAATATCCACGCACTTTGTTAGACTAGGGATTAGGAATCTCTTTCCGTCATCATCATCATTTACAGCACAACCTACGTGTTAAACACCAATACTTGGATGTCGTACAAACATAATTTGGTTGGGGACCTCGTTGTGAAGAAAAGAACAAAAGTGGATGGGAAAGGGACTTGTTGCTAGCTCGATCACTCTAGGTGCCACTCTTTCAGACACTCTAAGACAGAAAGTGAAAACAACACCGCTATTAACAAGCAGCCCTTGCCGTGTCGATGTATATTGTGTCTCCAAAATAAGCACAGGAGGTCACACTTTCGTCATAAACCTCAAGTCTCTTAGGAAGCGCTCACTCTTCGGCTTTCCGGGAATTTTTCATATAATGGCTCCCGGTATTTATGGCGTGAAATTTACATCCGGGGATAAGAGCGCTTTACTTGACTGGATTCCAGTTATCGGCGTTGCACAGGTTTCCTTATACATTAAAAACAGCGCAAATAGATGAGACAGACTATCTTAATTTGTTGTACCAATATGTATCTCAGTAAACCACACTCCTGTCGAGGAGTTTTCAGTAGTGCATTATGAGTAGTGCATTACAAAATATATAGTATCACGAGTGGGACAGCACATTCAGTTGCCTGCAAATGTCGAAACCGAGAGATTCACCTGGGTTCCAGGCGAGTCTCTCGAAAAACCAAATTAGTCTGCAAATGAGTGTATATTCGCTAAGAAAAAATAAGTTTTTTTATTGAGGTATGTCACGACTACTCCACTGAACATAAGCGAAGGATAGTTTCGTTCTGCGGCTAATGTTAACGGCCACTAGGCTTGGGAGGAGCACACTTCGAGGGGGGCTGAGTTAGTCCGAATGCATCCAGTTTGTCTGCAGGCAATGTGAAGTAGCAGCCGTCATCGGACTTGAAGCAAACTGATTCGAAATATTGCGCAACACCTTATTAGTTTTCCACAACACTCAGCCACTAGGCTGAGTAACTGAGGATCGAGGAAGTGCAGTATTCCCAAGCTCATTTTATGGAAAAAAAATGTCACGTTACCTCCCCATCAATACGGTTAAATAGGGAATCAGCGTTGTCAAACCCAAGTGTTGATCAGACTCTCCATGGAGGCACAATCCAAAGTCTTTCTGATAAGTGAATGGCGTAAGAACGAACAACTCCTTCTTCTACTAAAAAAGGAAATGGAGTTCAAAATCTGGTTAGAGGAATTGAGCATTTCGGCTTCCAGTTGATGAGTTCATCTTTGCCGCCATAGGCATACCGAACAGAAGTGATACACGTTAAGTTACTGGACTGGACCTAAGTTGATGAAATATCTGTAGACACCATGTACCATTCCTTGATGGCCTAGATGCTGCATGGTGCGGTGATTTTGTGCCATATGAGGAGAACCTTAGGCAAGCGTGAAAAATTCCTTCTATCTATTCCAGAGACTATGGGTTACAGTGCCCCGACCTCTCTGGGAACCGGGACCCAGCGAAGATATGTCTGACTGCCTTACACAAGCTCAACTTCATATACAGTCGCACAGCAAAAGCTTATGATGGTCATTCGGCTACCATACATCAGTCGGCCTGTCGGCGATGAAAGACGCCCTTTATCCAGGTTTATATGTTGGTCCATTTTTAGTGTTCCTTCGGTTATGATATATTCTTCCCCCCCACAGATTGGGCTAGCTACAGTAACGGCCCTCCAACGAACTGTGCCGGTTTCTGTGCCAGGTATTACATTTCTGTCGGGCGGACAGTCTGAAGAAGAGGCCGCAATAAATTTGAGCGCAATTAACTGCGTCGAAGGCCACAAGCCGTGGAGACTGACCTTCAGCTACGGCCGCGCATTGCAAGCTTCAGTTCTGGCCGCGTGGCAAGGCAAACCGGAGAATGTGCACAAGGGACAAGAAGAGTTGCTGAAGCGAGCAAAGGTTAGTGCTTCTCAGTGTCCATAATCAAGTCAACTCACACTGCAAGACCTATTGCGTAAGGCGAAAGCCTTTATTTGGTTTCTGGGTTGTGACTATGATCTGACAATACCCGTGATCAACTGCAGTGTATGTAAATAGTATAGTTCAGGGAAGACAACGGCTAGAAAGATTCCAGCCATAAGTGTGAATAACACTTGTTGTTTTATTGGTAGATCTAAATAGGTATCTAACCCCCGTGTCAAAGCTAATAAATGGACTAGGTGATTCAATTTGTTATCTTGAGTATCATGTTCTTCACTGGTCCAAGCTTCACCACATGAATTTCCAGTGAACTCGAATAAAATAGACTTTTCACCACCTCCTTGGGTTTGAAACTTAAAAGAATTTCAAAGCTTCCATAGGCTGGTTCAGAATTCGACCTTAAAAGACTTTGCGTGTTTTTGAACAATAATCAATGTTTATTAAAAGCAATAGGGTAAAAAGTGCTTTGACCAGATTTTGTTTAGTTAGTTCATTAATCTGTAGCCTCGTGGGTTTCGCACGTCTTTAGCTGAGCCTTCTTCATAGAAATAAAACATTTCAGGTTAAGCAGGGACTACTCATAAGTAGAAAATTAGTTTGATATTATTATTACTGTTACCATCATTATTTATTTATTTATTTATTTACAACTCAAGACCATAAACATGCACTTAATTGAAAGGAAATAATCTTTATAATTTTGGACGAGGAACTTGAAACGATGGCTATTGAAAAAGGTAGATTTCACGTCTTTTTCTGTCTCCAAGTGATGTGACTTCTGAAGTATAATTCAGAGCCCATCAGAGAAACCCAACTGGCAGAGTTACGTGGGTATGACCATGAGAAGCTCGCATGTGACTCTCCGCTACGTTTTGTTAAGAAGTTCATAGCTGGCGTGGAAATCCAAATATCTGTTACATAAAACCCTGGCTGTCGCAAACCAGATGAACGTCATTAAATTGCGCCAGTGAGGCAGACACTGACATGGCTAAGAGTATCGCCGGCGATCATGACTAAAGATAAGGGTGCATTAGCATTAAGTATGACTTTTTCTGCTACTTTCCAAGCTTTTCAACTCTCATCTGTTTGATATCCGATACTAACAGATTAATCTCACAAACGACACAGAAATGTGCAGCTGGGTGAATTGTGGATTGAGTAGATAAGGCGGTTGATTTACAGTGAACTGAATCCCTTATGGTATAACCTTAATGTATTTGCTTCGAAAATGGAGAAAACAAGAGAAGATATCCCAGTTAATTGCAGTTAATTAGTCATGCATACAAAACATTCGACATTCATCTGATGGGTGTGTGACAGCAAACAACAAAAGTGAACGACATCGTTCAACGGGCGCGTGACGTTGGGGCAGGTTTAAGCCGTTGGTGCAAAATGAAATGAAATAAAAGGAAGAAGGCCTTCGCTGCGGAGTTGCACGCAACATTAGCATTTTCGATTATGCCATTTTTAAGCATCTCTGGAATTTGTTTTTGGGCCTCCTCCCGTAGATGGAGCGGCAGCGGACGAGGTCCGTAAGGTTGAAAGCGCCCTGACGACAGGGTTCCTAATCGACCATCTGTATGCCGTCATGTTTCACTCACGGACGCTGGCAGTCTTGAGGTTGGATTACGTGACATAAACGTAAATGAGTTGCCCGGGTCAGAGAGCTTGGCTGCTTTCATTGCTTGCCATGATGCTATCGATGATACCGGAGCTCTTGTGGTCATTTGTATTACGTGTGCAGTTGTCGCTAACTCGCATGTAAGAGTTAGTATGGAATATTTTCATCTATTGATTGTGAAGGACGGCGCTCTTCTCTGTCAGTGTACATGTCACCATAAATGCGGATGTACTGGTAAAAAGACCAAACGCACGGCGATGACTAGACTGAAAACACTCTCTGATAGTTGAGATAAGCCTTAGCTATGAAGCCGGATAGGTGTGACTCCTACTTTCGGAAACTATTCCTCATTTGGTGACCTTTGAGTGCATTGATAAATACAGTGATAAACCATTTAGGATAACCGTCTGTGTGCGTGACTGCCTATATCACGAAGTCCTCCTTTGCTGACTAATTAGCCTTGTATATATTTTTGGATCCATGAAAGTGCTCACACTGAACCACGTTCATGAGTTCAAAGTTTCCGAACTGAATAAACTGTCCACCGTTTGTGGCTTTGCGGTGGACCAAGCGTGATGAGGTGACATTGGGGCATCTAGCCCAATCGGAGGAAGCTGTACTGTTAACGTTTATTCTCAGTTGCTGTTTATCCTTATACACCTATCTTACAAATGTTGAGTATTTTATGTTCAAGACGAACGACAGAAGGTAGACTGTTGATATCCCGTGAGCTGCCTCATCCGTATTCCGTACGATGCTCAAAATAGCCTTTTTTGTGAGATTACTGTGAGCGTGAGGCATGGAATGCTTGCGTTATGAATACGTTGTAACAAAATTATACAGTTTGCAATGGAATTTACCGAGAATGCAATGAATTTTGTCCACCGCATTTGCTCGATTCCTATACAACGGGATATCATAATATTGGTTCCAACGATCTACACGTCAAAGAGAGAGAAAGCAGTACCACTGTAGGGTTATCACTGTCCAGGCTGTGGCAGGAGTCTTTGTCACATTGTACTTCATCCTTACATCGTTAGAGACATGGCTCCAAAAAAGTGTGCAGATGTAGCAGTGTCAGAATAATTACCACAGGTCTGCCTAATTCCTACCAGACAACAATGGACATTCCAAACTCGGATAGACGTAACCAAATCTACCAAGTGGTTGGGCTAAAGTACTGTTTGTTTTTCCAATAAAAATGGCGCCTGTAACCATTGTTTACACTGAACACAGTTCGAGCAGTAGAATGAATTCCACTGTCAACCACAGATTGATTTCACCCCGACGTGAACGCCATCTCCGTTTTTGAGCGTCACTGTGTGTTCAGGACCTCTTAGTTTCGGTTAAAACCAGATTTGCCCGACTCTTTCCCCTATGTTGGTGTGTACCACACCTATCCGGAACCTCAATTACATTTCTTTCAATCAAGACGGGAATCNCCTTCTTTCCCCTATGTTGGTGTGTACCACACCTATCCGGAACCTCAATTACATTTCTTTCAATCAAGACGGGAATCTCACTTCTTGGATAGCATTTGACTCGTGAACTCCCCTTAGTGGAATAAAACGTTTTTCTCTTTTGAAACAGTTAGTGTGAATCGTATGAAAGTGGAAAGAAGGGCATCCTCTGAATCTAGTACCGCAAGTTCTTCGTTCGTAGATTCACTATAATTCTCACCTCTTCAAAAGTCTGTCAAAGTCAACTTGTCCTACGCCTATCGATTCCATCGAAGGTAGTGATGTAAGAAACGAACCACTCTTACATACATGCTTGAACTCTATTCGAAATGAAATGGCGATCACAGTTTCCTTCACGTTCATTCAAAAATGGAGAGCCTCAACTTGCCCCTCGTCGAATGTCGAGAAGTACATGGACGCATTGACATGATATTCAACATACTGAGACATCCTGCCGCCAGTTACAGATATCACGTATCAGAACCGTAAGAACTACTTTTGGAAAGCGAGGATTCTTGAACATACTAGGCTATGATCAACCGATCACCTGTGGTTTAAAATGTACGTCTGTGAATCACACACACGGTTACTTTGCAACAAATGTGAACTGTGTGACTGATGCCTTCCAGCTTAGATTAATTGGTTTTCCATGACAAACCCTGCGGTGAAATTCGCAGGTTCTCCGAGACGTTTTTGCGGACTTGACCTCTGGTACTCGTGTATCTACTTCGAATAACTTCTTTTACGTGTGTACAACAGCTGGTACGAAGCAGCCGAGTGAAACATTTTCGATCAATAGTGTGGGGGTGTCTAGATACGTCGTTTATGGTACCAATATCTAAATTGCTACACACATGGGTGTGACATGCCCTAAACTCTACCTCCTATTGGGACTAAATCTTATCTACAGAACGAGTAAACCTAAAATAATTAAGCAAAGTGGGTCTATAGCTCCAGCAACGTTCCCTTGACGGTATGATTTCAATGCCGTTGGTTGGTTAGAGGTCCCAGAAATTACCGAAACTCCGCCTGCAGTCAGCTGACTGGAATGGCCCAGTGCAACGACGGACCATTTTTGGATTCATTTGGGGAGCAATCAATCCCATCTGAATGAAATGAGTAATGCAGAACGCTTTATCTGATTTACTGGGAACAACAACAGACGCTAACAAAATGCTACCGTTAGAAAGGTAAACTCCAGTTTGAAAACGGTTATGCTTATCATGTGAAGTTAAGATAGATTTTGGAGGAATTCTTCGTTCTTCAACCGAATTTGCTGCACAAAGGCACTGTGGCCGCTCACCTGGACCGATATTCAGAATATCGGAATATTTTCCACTGATGTGACCATTCATAAGTTTATCCCATAGCTCGTTACTGGTTCCACACTTTTAAAGCTCAGGATTTATTCACGAATCCACATCACTCTGAATGTTTAATTTCAAAAAAGGTATTCATACCTGGAACCATTAAGAAATAAACAGACGCAAAAGATTCTGTAGTACTCTTTCAATCCCTAACTGCCATATCACCCGAAAGAAGCATGAAGGTCGAGTTAGTGCCAGGTCGCCCAAGCCCAAACGGCGGCATTCGAGATGCTGAAGTTCATTTCGAACCAGAAACCTTGCAGTTTGAAGGTTCGCGCTCTAACCGCCGACAACCATCACTATTTCACTACCGATTAGGTCCTTGAGGGGCACATGGGGTCGAACTATCTCATAGTCGAATGATTCAGCTGAAACTAAGTTGGGTATATCATGAAATCAATCTACTCGACGTTTGTCCGGCTTGGCATGCAGATACGGAATAAGGTTCTCTGAAATTCGGGACTGCTTCTGCCTGATGAATCCCGGAAGGGAGGAACTGATGACGGTCTGTCAAAGTTCGCATGATGGCAAGGGAAAATGTATAAAAGAGCATTCACTTGCAAAGTAAGTGTGCGATAGTGGCGGAATCAACTGAATTACGACGTCTTTCCCCTTCAAGAGTTTTTAGAGGAATGCACGTCACTAGAGGTATCGATGCATACTTCCTCGACATAACAGTGCACCACATATAGGGTTGCGGACAACTGTTCGGTAGGCCATCTTTAGATTCACCAGAAAGATCTGATCCACGAGTTTCCAGAGAATTCACATCCCACTGGAACACCAAATGGTCCGATGGTAGCTAATACACCTTCATCCGAAAATGAGATTGGTGCTAACGGGAAACTCCAGGGAAACCCTATTGGATCTCTTTTTCGCGATATGCCTGGTGTCTTAAATGAGAGATTAAACTGGAATTCACTTAAGTCCCCCTTGACCGGCTTAACTTGCAAACGAGTGTACAATTTGGTGTTCAAGTGGGAAATCTGAGCTACCACTACCTGATGAGCTCCTAGAGACACGAAATCAGTAGCAAGCATTTTCGTCCACAGTATGTCACATGAACATCTATAAGCTCCCTTAGATCTGTTGACTCCTATGCACCTTTTTGAACGATTTTCAGTCACTTTCTTAGAAGATGGCTCTGTTAAAAGGAATTTTTTGGATTTTTTTTACTAGGTGGACTTGATCGGACGTCACCTAATGGGATAATGATATAATAGCAATCGATATTTCATCCGCTCTGGAGCTGTTACATCATTAATAAGCGGCCTCTCGAGAGATTTTAACCCACCATCTCCCGGTTAGCAGTCGAAGACAAAGTCGTTTTTTCACAGGTAGCTGGCCAGCAATGTGATTAATTAGCAGTATGAAGGGGGATATAGGGCCATTTATTCTTCAATATTGAGTTTCCTATTACATCGTCAGGTGCTGACCGGCTCCTCACACTGCGGATCAACCGATTGTGGTATCTATCGTGAAGTATAGATAGAAAACTTGTGAAGTTTAGGCTATGACCAAAACGGCTGGCTTCACTCAAAAGATGAAACCTCGGTTGGAATTTACGAATCTACAGATAGTCCCATGATCATCACAATGAATTTGTGTACACGTAGATGGTGACGGTGAGGGGAGGGTCGTGAACGGTTCCGACTGGCTTTTATTTGTCATTTTTCAAGTTACTCAAACGAACATCAGTAGTTCAAAGCGATCAAAACTCACAACAGACCTTGTGCCTGAATCACCGTGTTCTGGAACTCGAAGATCTTCGGATCGGGTATCCGCCTTAAGCTTATGTCCTCCAAGATGATGAGCGCTACTAATGGCCAAGAAAATAATTAGCATGAAAATGAAAGATTGGAACTGTAAACGAAATCCGCTTGAAAGTTGTTTGTAAACCGGGTCAGTTTGTGTGCCCCACGAGTATCTGCTGAGTAGACAATAACATTTTGCCCCAAGCCGTTTCAAAGCTGGTTCGAGCAGAAAACAGAACGGTGTTTATGGTATATATCCTTCCGCACTTGGAATTTTCTAACTGTGTAATTTTTCCACTAAAAAACTCACTTTATGTTTGAATTTGAAAATATGTCTTTTGTGGTTGACTTAACGAGGGTCGCCCTGTAACCCCGAATAGTGTTATCAAGGTTGCCGTAAACATTGACTATGCAGCGTACACACCCACTTTCTGGCGCACAACTGAATAATTTCAAACAAAGCTTGAATGCAGTGTCGTTCCGTAACTATCCCTATCACGCCAGCGCGAAAAAGTTGAGACGTTCCCAGAAAAACATAACGAACACAACCGCTATTATGTCAATGGTTTTTATCTTAGTTGCTAGTAGATAGCTACCACTCTTTGTTCGGAATTTAAAAGGTCAGGAGATACTGCGCGTATCATAAGTCGGGTCTTTGGTTAAAGCGCACTGTACCGTTGAGATTTCTTTGGTTGCATGTAGCATTTCCTGAGCCTTGAAAACGCCGGAAGATATACAAATTTTGTGGCAAATTGTAAGGTTTTTCATTCCCGACGAAATAATCCCGCACTGTTTCTGTAGCATACCGACTGTGTGGCTCCTTTTAAGGGAGGGGCAAATTTCAGTCTGTCCATTAGTATGCTCTCTCAAGTGGGCAACACCCGTGTTTCTTATTTGTCTTTTTTTGTCTACTTTGTTTCATCTCTCTCTCTTACTCTCCCTCTCCCTAAATCTAGGTATGCGGATTGGCTTCACTGGGCAAGTACAAAGGGGGACAAACTGGCGCAGCTGGTGATCAGACCTTGTTCGTCCCAAGCCATGCCTACTAAGTATAGTTTCACTCACTGCCTCGTTTGATCCATCTTTTTTTCATAATTATGCTGGACACGAATCTATCAGGCTTTTGCGAACTCATTCACTTTTTTCAACTGAATGAAACTCTCCAATTAACGTGACTGCTATACTCAACTATGTGCAAAATGTGTGCTGTTGTGGCATACGCTGGGATGACGAGTTATCTGAACAAAAACTCAACTGTGAGGACAGTTGCTTTATTCCATAATCAAGAATAATTTTTCAGTGGGACTGGACGATCGATAGAGAGCTCAATTCAGAGCCTCAGAGAAAAGCACAGAAAAGGCAGTCAGTTACACTAGTGGTTGTAGTTTCCGTATAGACGAACCAAGGTGGAAGTTGATCATCAGTATGGTACACAGGTAGATATGGAACCATTTTGTCCTCAATGTCCTTCGTTCAAAAGCAGCTATCAGTCCCGGCACTTACAAAGAAAGGTTCCAAATTTCTTCAAGACAGATCAACGGGAATATGACTGCTGCGTGCACGATGTCGGTTCTTTCTCATCACCAACGTCTAGATTTCACACCAATCCATCTGAAGGCATGAGATTCGTATGAAAGTGAGAAATCGATGCGTTTCGTTTTGTCACCAACAGGGCAAAACTAGCACAAATACATCATGGGAAAAATCCCAGGAACTTGTCGAGGGGGGTGATCAAACGAAATCCCAAAGCGGGCTAAATTAAAGAAACTGTCGTTGAAAGCAATGATATCAATCTCCCAGTGTAGTGAAGTATCAATAATGTACAGCAATATGCTGCTGTCAAACATCATGGTGAACCCGTGTGAAAATGTCAAACTTGGGAGCTGGTAGGCAAAGTCCAAACAAAATGTCGTTTATAACATTCGCGAAAAAATGCTTGCATCGGAAGATGTCGAAAAAACTTCTGGTTAGTCGCTTGGGGGACCATGTGAACGCATTGTGTCCCTTCTCCTATGAGGCTATCTAAAACACACTATGATGGGACATTACCGACGAAAACTGAAGTGACCTAATGAGGTACGGAAATATATCAAATTTTGAATGAGTGAAAAAGGCTTCTTTGTTCAATATGTACGAACCGGGGCTGGTGGCCATCTTAGGTAAACCTTTTCTGCAACTTTGTGTTTCACAATTAAGTCGGTTCCCTCAAAGCATTGTTCTTCAGTTGATCAACGTAACGAAATGAAAGGATTAGAGTATTTTGTTCATAGTCACACCACTCTCGTTTGGATGGTCGTCCTCCTGATCTGGCGTAATTATTTCGGTGAGTCCACACCAAACGAAAGCACTGGACTCGAGTTTCGCTCTTATTAGAGCCCATCAGCAGTGCGTATCCAATGGCCGTGCCGGGATTTGAACCCCAGACATCTGACATGCGAGCGAGGCGAGCGTGTAACCACTACTCCACCAACACAAGTTAGACGGACCTGGATTTTCACATCTGAACAGGCAAACGTGTTCACACTTGAGCGATGCTATTGGTGTGCCCGACTCATCGAACGACCACCTAGCAACAGTCCTGGTTGTGACGATCGATTGACCCGCCAGTCAGGACTTCCCAATCAGGTAGCGTAACAAACGCCAGAAACCCACTGGGCAACATTTTGGTTGCAGTTTTGGGGTTTTGCGGGATAGGTATTTTGTTCGTAGTCACACAATTACAGTATGGCTGGAAATTAATGGATCCAGATTATTTTTTGTTTCCAGATGTCACATGCAGCTCAGATCGCAGCGATCATTGTAGGGCATGTTTGGGCGCTGTGAAGAACTACTGACACCAGTAAATTTTGGTTCGTTAATCTTACAAAATGCAAGTTAAACCTCTGGTGGTCAAACACTAGGGAGCATTCAAGAGTCGCCATCTGTAACACTGGGGTCATACTAAAGGGGACGCGATCTTCCAGCCGAGTGTGGCGGGGTCCAGCTAAACAAATCACTCCGAGGAAGTGGAGTATGCTATATCAAGATAACCGTGGAAACCTTTTATCACGGGAGATATTGATGAGAACAGGAATATCGAGAAGACTGACTTTACGTTATCGGAATTTACAATGATGTAGACGCTTGAACTTACGGTATGTGCAATTTGAGTCGCACTGATAAGGACATGGCAGATTAATCTACAATGACATCCCAATAAAACCTTACAGACGTTCATCCTGACTACCCCGAGTCGAATCATTGCGCACATGGAAATTCGGACTGGCTGCCGACCCCAGCCTGAACCGTTCCTTTATCAAAGACAAAATCTGGTTTGTCACTCAGTGGCACGAAATCACAAGCGTTTAATCATTTCTACAAACGTTTGTGCCAAAGAAATCTGCCTCGCTCTTGCTGCTGCATGCGCTTATGTCGACATTTAATTCAGTGTGAACAGCATCCAAGAACCATCAGAGGAAGTTTGCTTAGACTAGCTGTAAACACCCTCAAAGGAAGTCATACACTAACATGGTTCCGCGTTATCCGATCGCACTGCAAAATATGCAGACGATCAAAACAACAAACCCGTGGTCTCCCTAGGTCCCCAAAGAGGTTCTCGAAGATGCCATTTTCATACCCTTTATATCTTCTCACACAACACTGGTCTCCTGATAACCAGCAAGATTATTAGATACAAGCAGACTGCGCTGCTCTCCCTGTGCACGTTTTCAATTGTAGTGCTACAGGGCAACTTGCATTTACCCGTCCCATTCAGCTTACTCAGCATGATATGAGACTTCATTGCAAAACTTGGCTTTTTTGGAAGTAACGTCAAACTCTACCGGAAGAACATATTAATATCAGAGAATACGGACCTTACGGAATAAGCATTGTGCAGTGATTTCCCTATCCCGAAACCATTTTGTTTGCCGTACGGTGGAAGTAGCCATTTTATAAAAACAGAGAAGCATAGCGAATGAACAAGAGAATAGAGGGATGCGGACAAGAATAGCCGTGAGGAGTTGAACAAACAAGGCCACACTCTAAATCTTCCCTGTATTTTCCTTATTTTATTGCTTACAGTATGGTTTAGTTTACCACGATCGTAGGAATAAGAGCCCGTGGCAGGGATCCTGGTTGGGCTTTGTATTCCCATCAAGATGCCTCGTTTCATTTCCCTTGAATTAGTGTAACAGGTTCGATTCCAAATCTCTCCTTTTGTGCGTTCGTATCCAAACCTGCCTTGCGAAAATTGCTTCAATTAGGTAGGTCGCAAATCAAGCCACTCGAAAATATCCGCTTCGTCGAAGTCCGTAGTTTTTCTTCTTTTAACGTCGACCTAAACAGAGCAAGCTACTCAAACGTGGGGCGCAAATCCTACCTAATTTTATTGTGTAAGTTAGCTCTGAGTTGTTAGTATAAGTCAACTGCATAGTTAGCGTAGATTTAATGAAACTTTACCTGAAAAACAGAGTGGAACAAGTGTGTTACACACGTACACTTGACTTTTCGCTGGAGACGGATCAACCCAAACATTGTTTGTTCTCGAGAATTAAATGAATAAATGCCCAGGGTATGCACTGGTATTACCTTGCTTTTTTTAAAAAAAATAAAACAGTACGTTTCTAACCCTTCTCCGACTGGATGCAGCTTAAGCTAGTCTTGAAATACAATGGCAACCGGTTCTGACTTGTTGTTATATGTAGAGTTGCAGGTTTTTATCCGGTTCTATAGAGTTAGATCAAAGCAGTCGGGCACAAGTATAATCAACCGTAGTGAGTGTGGCCCCACAGTTGAAACTCAACGTTTTGTGCTTACTTTATCAAGTTAATCCATGAACTTAATTATGTGTGAATGTCTAATTCTTACTGATATCAAGGATGAAAAGTTACCAGGTAAATCTAGATGTTTGCGAAAAAGTAGCCATTTATTTCGGCGGCCAAAGTCATCACTGAATGTAACTTTTATCCTATCCGTGGACAGATTAACGCATACAGTGGCTTGCGTAACTGAAAAACCGTGAGCTGGCGTCGCAAAGAAAAGTCTTCTGGAGACTTGGTTGTATGCTGCAAAAAGTGGAGCGAATAACTTTGCCCTGAGAAAGACTTTTACCAGATTGAAAGTTACTGCTATCATGACTCTAGAAGATTGAGGTAGCTGTTAACATTGTTTACCTTTGGAACTTGTCAAAATTCCACATGAGCAACCCCATGTTTCTTCGGATGAGGTATGCTAGGCTGAGTATTTGTGTTACATTTTAGGTGACTGGAACGGTAGAAAACCTGGCGACCGTATGTGCCATCTGTCAACCTGTCACCTAGGTGTTTACTGATATCTGTATCCTGCATCCAGGCAAGTCTGGAAGAGTTGTGAGTGAAATGACAGAATGTATCTTTCCAATCCACTCCAAAATTCTGTTCACCATAAATTCTACGTAATCAACAAAAAAAAATTTAAAAACAATGGGATGAACACAAGGTGGCGCTGACCATCACAGCTCAGCCTGACTTTCGAGCTTAGAATTGTCTCGGAAATTTAGAATAGGATGACGGTGATAAGCAACACACGGGTGTAATGACGAGCCANTCTGTTCACCATTCTACGTAATCAACAAAAAAAATTTAAAAACAATGGGATGAACACAAGGTGGCGCTGACCATCACAGCTCAGCCTGACTTTCGAGCTTAGAATTGTCTCGGAAATTTAGAATAGGATGACGGTGATAAGCAACACACGGGTGTAATGACGAGCCACATGAATCCTATTCTTGGTTAGGCTTTAAGGGGAGTGAACAATAACCTGTGTTAACCGTCCAGGAAAGAGCTGTACCCTATCACCAACGTGCAATTTAGTGGTGCCTCTCATGAGTATAAACAACTCTCATTGACGCCACCGTCATTTAAATAGCCCGTTCTTACTGTCAAGGTTAAATCAAGTCGAACGATGATGCGGAGATTACGAAGATCAGTGAATTGGGATTAACCGACGGTTGAAATAACGTTGAAAGTAGCCATAGGCGGAGTGGAAAATGTCTTTTGTATATGTCTTTGACCACATCGTCTACTCTTGGATGCTATGTAAATATATCATGCAAGAACAACGAGGCTGCGAACTAACGCTAGTTTGTGAAACATAGAGGCAGCTTTTGGGTGCACGTATTCTGTGAGATCAAGAAACGTTACTTGGGGGCCCAAATGTCAAAATCGTTTTGACCTAAAATATGAATAAATCGGTAAGGCCTGGTGTGAATAAGACCCAGGAAAAACTACTCACAAGTTTGCTGATAACTCGTCGAAAGCCCACAACCAGTTTCGCCCTTCTTGGGGCACATCAGGTAGGCGCGGTCCCCGATTTTCCGTCAACCTTATGTTGTGCTTGAACCCAAATTGGACTGTTTTCGAGAGCATAAGGTTGACTGAACCTCGGGGACTGCGCCTACCTGATGAGCCCCTAAAAGGACGAAACCGATCGTGGGCTGCCGAACAGTTTTCAGCAAAAGTAGTTTCCTCCATGAAAAGATATTGCGATATGTTGAATATCGTGCCAACTGAAACATGAGGCGGCCTGC